AAATAATTTATATAAAAAAAATGTATGTATGAATATGTATATCAAGTACGTATAAGTGCATTAAATTAGGAAGGGTGGATTCGCATGAGAATCGCAGAGTGTGGACCCCATGGATGGTTCACATGAGTCGCGAAGCGTGAACGTCACTTTAACATAAATTTGTGTCAAATGATTATATTGAATATTCTCCTTTCAATGCTACGATGAAAACGAGTCTAGAGGGAGTTACTTGTTAGTGACTGCTTTAAAAGTTTTGAGGTTATAACTAGTTTCTACAAGGACAACATTGGAGGTGTTATCGTGATATAGCATTATTTAAGCAAAAGAGAATCGTCCCTTTATTTGGGCGAGAGATAGGAACTTTAAATTACTTATGTGAGTAGTAAAAACTCGCTAATCAATTTTATGTCGATATGTCGGATTCAGACAACGTTAAAACAATGCAAGCATACAGATTGGCCTACCTGGCCGTCTGACAAACATGAATTTATGGCATAATTTCGTAATTTTGGTAATCTATCATGGTCAAGGAAAAACCAAATTCAATTCGTATTTACGATTCAGAAGGTTATAGACGTAGAGCTGCATGTATCTGCGTCAAAAACGATCTCGAAGATGAGGTAAGCCAGCAGATGGCAGTTGGCATTATTTTCCTTATTACCGCAATATTTTATATTCTTTTTAATACATGGAGCAAACGTGAATTAAATTTTTGTGTAATTTATGATGTCATAGGTACTATTGGTTACATCCAGTCGAAGACCTGATAGTTGGATAGTACCTGGTGGAGGTGTGGAACCTGAAGAAGAGCCTGCAGTAACAGCATTACGAGAAGTCAGAGAAGAAGCTGGTGTGTTAGGACAATTAGGCAGATGTCTTGGCATATTCGAGGTAGTAATTTTCCCAAATGTAAAATTTAGCTTTACTCAATGTAAATGCAATAAAAATTTAATTAATAAATTTTAGTAGTAGAGAGTATGAATTATAAAAACAACTTTTCTTTATAGAATGCAGAACACAAACACAGAACACAAGTATGGGTTATGCGAGTAACAGAAGAGCTACCAGAATGGGAAGATTCACGTGCTATTGGTCGAAAGAGAAAATGGTTCTCTATACCAGAGGCCTTGATCCAGCTTGCTCAGCACAAGCCCGTCCAGCGTTCTTATATACACAGCCTCCACAATACTAATCCTCGACATAATCCCAATATTTCACCACCTCATCATTCACATACCACTGTAACATCTATTCAGTTAATGAATAATTCTAGTAACAATCCTCATCTTAATAAACACAGCTAATATTAAATACCATCCATTTGCGTGAACAATTGCCATCAAGTGTTAGGTATTTGTTGCTGCTCCTTTCCTTTCATACAGCTATAGCAATCACTAAAATTGTATTTTATATGTAAAATTACACTATTTATATATTCTCCTTTTTGCTCCTTTTCATTTTTCTGTTATTTGTAGTACAATTGCAGTGAATCTTATTATAACTACTAGTACTATTACTGTATAATTACTACTACTATTGCTACTACTATTACTATTGTCATTAATGCTGCTACTGTTAAAACTACCAACACTATTATTACTATTATCATAATTGCAATCATTATTATTATCATTGTCATTGCTGTTATTGACATTATGCTTATTTGTATAAATTAGTTAATAAACTGGTCCATAAAGGAGCAGTTTTTTTTTTAACTTAGTTCTGATCTTTGTTACAATTTTTTCAGAGAAATAATGCTTACACTTCATACATAAATAAGTACATAATTTTCGTACGTAAAGTGGATGGTGTTTTGTGCAAAAAAATCCACAATTAGAATACTTCTCTAATGTTGTTTGAATATATTCAAAGAATGTTACAAATGTCATAATGAAACATATCTAAATCTCAAGAGTTTGTTTTGAAAAAAATTTTTGATGGTATGTGATAATACTTTGTATTTGTTTCTGTAATAGTTATAACATTTTGCACACTATGGATCAGTATGTAATTTACAGACTGAATTATTTCAAGAATTGCAGTAGAGATTGTTTGGAATATATGTTTTAAAAAAAATAAGATTTTTCTCCCAACAGATTTTGTTTTTTCGTAATTATTTATATAACTTTTCTATAACTTCTCATATATCATTAGTAAAATATTACTGTAATTCCACTTTTGTGAATGTTATTATCTTGTATTGTTTCAAATCGAAATAATTTAATTCGCACAAAAAGTTGTCAATAAAATGCAATGAAAAAGTACTGGAAGGAATTTCAGTCGAGTGATCAGTTTGACAAATATGTGTATTTGATTTTATGAGAGAGCGTTTGGCGGATATTGTTTCATCCACGTGTATCTGATCTGTGTTAGAAGGTAATTTTTTTTAAACTTTCTGTTAGCAATACATTTTTTAACTTTTTTGAATAACACGCTGAACATAAATATTGTTTTGCATATATTTTATAATACAATTATTATATTTCTGTTTTCTTTTATCTACATTATACGATTAAACGGTATATAAGGTTAGGTTACTTGTAAGCTCATATCGCTAAAATATTTAGTTATTCAAACTTATCGTATATATAATTATAGATGTACCTTTATTAAGATGACTGTCTTTTATAAAGAAATTCCTAAAGAAATGGAGTGTGAACCATTGAATGAAGTTAATGAGGATCTGGAAGAAAATGACAATGACAGTAATAATGAAGATTCCATGGAAAGTGATGAAGCAGAAGAACAAGAGGATCAAGATGAAGAACCTAAAGTGTATTTACCTGGAAAACCCTTAAAAAGTGGAGAAGAACTTGTTGTTGATAAGACAGCATATCGAATGTTACATCATGCACAATCTGGAGCTCCTTGTCTTAGTTTTGACGTTATTTTAGATGGCTTAGGCAATAACAGAGAAAATTATCCATTAAGTATGTACCTTGTTGCTGGAACACAAGCTGCCAAGGCACATGTTAACAATCTTCTTGTCATGAAAATGAGTAATCTGTGTGGTATAAAAGATGATTCTGATGATGAATCAGATAATGATGAATTAGAGAGTGAAGACGGTACAAATACACCAGTAATGTCTGTTGCACCAATCAGACATCAAGGTTGTGTTAATAGAGTAAGGTAAATATATTAATACCTTTATTTCTGCTTTAATAGTGTCCTTAATTTCTAAATTATCTATATAAATAATCACAAAATAGAGTTTATTATTAATTTAAATATATTTTCTACTTCAACAGATATACAAAAATTGGTGAAACAAATTTAGCAGCAAGTTGGAGTGAATTAGGTCGTGTACATATTTGGAATTTAGAGGAACAATTAAAAGTACTTGACAATGATGAATTGCTTCGTGCATATCGTAAAAAATGTGAAAAAAGTGACGGAGGGATTAAACCATTATTTAGTTTTAAAGGACACCTTTCAGAAGGATATGGACTTGATTGGTGTTCAACAGATATAGGCACTTTAGCTTCAGGAGATTGCAAAGGTAATATTCATATATGGCATCTCAGTAACAGCAGTAGTAGTGCAACATGGCATGTGGATCAGAGACCTTATAATTCACATGCACCACACAGTGTTGAAGATATTCAATGGTCACCTAATGAAAGACATGTACTTGCTTCAAAGTACAGTTCAATGTACACTTTAATATACATTTTGTTATTTGCTTTTTATTATAAATTCTTAATGCATTTTTGTAATTATAATATAATTTTAACAGCATCAAAGTTTGGGATACAAGAGCAAGTCCACAGTCTGCTTGCATGTTAACAACATCTGGTACACACACTGCTGACATTAATGTTATTTCATGGAATCATAAAGAAAGTCAATTTCTTGTATCTGGTGGTGATGATGGTTTAATTTGTGTATGGGATTTACGCCAATTTGGTCCTAATGGTTCAAGTCCATTAGCTATGTTTAAGCAGCACACTGCACCTGTTACAACAGTAGAATGGCATCCTGAAGAAGCCACTGTATTTGCTTCTGGTGGAGCTGATGATCAAATTGCTCAATGGGATTTATCAGTAGAAGCTGATCAATCAGAAGAGATAAACAGTGGTGAACTGAAAGAACTACCTCCACAGTTGTTATTTATACACCAAGGACAAACAGATATTAAAGAATTACACTGGCATCCTCAATGCCCTGGTGCCCTAATATCGACAGCACATTCAGGATTTAATATATTTCGTACAATTAGTGTATAATAAACGCATCTGTTTAATAATACAGTGGTTACAAAATAATTTTTTCCAACTTCAAATTTTGTTTATCTTACAATAACAAACAATCTTAATTTTAATCGTGCTACAAAAGATTTTTTACCTAGACGTAATTAAAAATATACAATTTAATTCCATTTTTTTCACAATATAAGTAAATAATAACGATGTTTGACATTTTAAATGTATAAGGTGTTTATCATGGCGGTATCCACGATTTTTAATTAAAATTATCAAGAACAGATAAAAATTCTAATTATTCTGCACAATTGCAGCTAACAATTAGATGTCACAGTGTCAATATATTTTACAAACACTAGTGAAGCTATATAATAGTTGTAATACTGGCGAAATGTTACAACACTAAATCACTAACATGGTTTAAATCCAAAAGCTTCGAACAAGATCTCGAATAATACGGAATGTAAAAGTATCAAAACACTGGAGTTTTGTGTCAAACATAAATTACTTTATTATTGTAAGTGCTATAACTATTAAATATAAAATACAATTTAATTATGTATAAGATTTAATGATAAAAGATGTCTCATTGTTGGTCTACCATGGGGACAATTCCAAGGATTTTTCATTTGTGCCATTTGTGTAATTAATTTTTGCATGTCATTATTATTAAGCGCTGTACCAATCATAACTGCACTGCGACAAGCTCTCGATGCTAACATTTGTCTTACTCGACTTGGACGAAATACATTATTTTCTTTATTTTCTATACCACCTTCTTTGATGAGAAAAATCAATTCTTCTATATCCTCTAGACCAAATTGCCAGTATCCACTAACTGGTATACTTGTAAGTTCTACACGAAGTCCAGATTCAGCTAAAACATAAAATGGTCAGTTATATACATTTGTGCTTGAGCAATTTAACATGATATCGTTATTTTAAAAACAATTAGTTACTCCAACTAAAGTGTTAAATTTATTATGTCTACCTTCAGAATTTATTTTGAAAAAAAATCCATTGTCTTCAAATGTTTTTTGATTTTCAATTAATATTGTTTCATTAAGAGAAGAAATATTTAAAGGTTTGGGAATAATTAATTTTTGGGTTTTCAATTGCGTTTCGTTATTAAGTTTTTCAAAACGATATTTTTCATCACTAGCATGTTGATCAATGATGAAGAGATCTTCTTGCAAACGAGTTATTATAAAACCAAGATTGAATTGTCCTATAATCTCCATCTGTAAAGTATACTTATGTTAATAACTGCAGAATTACTTAAACAAACTTATATGATTTAACAATTGAAACAAAATGTAAATATTACAACCTTGAGAAAAGAGTCTTTTGTTAATTGTTTCTTCAGTTCATTTTCAGCATTAGAATTTTGACTTGATTCCATTTGTACTTTAAATTTAATTTTTGTACTGGGAATCTCACAATTGGGTAAAGTATTCCGTTTTTCTTGAAGTTTTTGTCTTATTGCTGAAATACTAATTGACATTTCTGCACTATCTAATATTTTTGTCTGTTGTGTTACATTATTTTGTACATTATCATTATCACACTTAAAAATTTTATCTTTATCATCATATTGTATATCTCTTTTTTCTATACATTCTATATTTGAAGCTTGTAAACTATGGAACCTTTTTGTTGGACGATCGTTATTTGTAGGTGAAATTAGTCTTTTTAGTCCAAAATTTTGTTCAGGTACAGATTTCACAGTGAAATTTGCCTGTAATTTATCCCACTTAGATATTAAACTAAATTTTAGAGTTGCTAATATTAAATGTTCTTGTGTACAGAAGATAATTCTTTTATTTGGAGTTACATTAATATCCGTTGACTGTTTATTTAACATTAAATTTAAATAAATAAACGGATATTGTTTATTATTATATTTGTGATACACATGGTTTATTAATTTGCTGACATTTGACGGATCACATGGTCGACCATTTACATAAAAAAATTGTCTATCAGAAGTAGAACGTCCAATGTCATGATCACAACTGCTAATATAGCAGTCCCATTCAAAATCTACAACTGCATTTTTTGGTAAATTGTATTCTTCTAATGTTACTTCATCAGGAGGTAATAATTCAAGATTGACAAGTCCATTCAATGACTTTTTGCCAAATACTATACTAATATTGTTTAAAATATTACTTGAACTTGCAGTATTGACTACAACATTAGGAGATTTGCCTGGTAGTGAATTAGAACATGTTATTTTTGTATTAGTAGATACTAAACAATAACTGTATAGTACTTGAATAACACGAGCATATTCCTTTTTTAGATTACTTTGAAGTTCTTTTGCTCTGACAGGAAGATACTTAAATATATCTTTTACATATACAGTTGTTCCTATTTCTCTTGCATACGGTTCTTTTTTTTGTAGTACACCATTATGATCAAATTCTAATTTGAAACCATGTTCACTTGTAGCATGTCTTGTAGTAATACTTAATTCAGCTAAAGAGCAAAGGGAACTAAGAGCTTCTCCACGAAAACCAAAAGTGCTCACTTCTGTTAAGTCTGAGAATTCTCTAAGTTTAGAAGTATGATGCTTCAATCCTAGTAAAAAAAGATTAATAACATTTTATTTTATAATCTGTTTAATTTTTTTAGATAAGTTATACATTGATATATTCATATATATTTATATACCTAATCCTTCAAAATCTTGTTCTAAAACACCATTTCCATTATCACTGACATTGATACATGTCCTTCCATAATCTTTCAATTTAATATTAATTAATGTAGCACCACTATCTAAACTATTTTCTACAAGTTCCTTCACAGCAGTTGAAAGATCAAGAACCACCTAGTAAAAATATTACATGTTAACATCGTTTCAAAATTAGTATGTTTATAGCATTAATTACTATGTATAATTTATAAAGGATGTTTAAAATATTTAATGAAACCATGCTAATTCTTATTTATTAAGTAACAAATACAAAATTGTATTGAATAAAAAATATTTTTTTCAACTTTATTACATGAAATATGTCTTATATCTTCAAAATTGCAAAATCAATTTTATACAAGAAATCTTTTTGATAAAAGTAAAATTTTTTAACGTAACAGTTTTTCTGAATTCAAAAAATAAAGGAAATATTCTAGTAAAGAATATTCAACAATTTCTATATTCAATATTCTGCATATCTAATGAAGGAAATAACTTAAATAATCATATGGAACATTTATCTATATAAATTGCGTATAACTCTATACACAACATGTATATATCTAAAACAAGATAAAATGAAATAACATAAACGTACTACGTTCTACAAAATAATTAATATCATATATTATAAACAGCATTAGCATTTAAGGACTGCAAATTCGAATACTCATAGGTTAATTTTACCTGACCAGAACAAATTTGATGAATTGCTTGTTTATTGATTGCATTAATTTTCTTTGATTTTTCCGATGTTGGAATTGGTTCTGTCATGATCAATTTTAGTTTTACGAAAATACATAAAAGTATAATTAAACATCCATTTTCTATGCCTTAGTTATGCGCTTCGTCATATGACAACTATAAATTGTTACATGAAAAATTAAATTTTATGAAAGTATTACTACATAAAACTTTCTTTAGTACATGAATTAAAATAAAATATTTAATAAAATATCAAATGAAATATGTAATCAAATAAATAAAGTAATCAAATAAATTGTGTTTACTATAGTCTTCAATTTAATTAGCTGTTCCTTAAGAAAACGAAACAGAAGAAATAGTCTCCAGTATGTTATTGCGCGAAAACTTAACATCAATACAAATCTCTATCATATTAATGATGAATCCCTATTATATTAAAAAATCCGCTAATTTGAAATTAATGTTAATATTTTAAACTAATAATCTAAATCTGAAACGAGCCGAATGTCAATAAGTTTCTTATTCTGTGCGAAATAATTTTACAAGAAATCTTTTTATTACACAGCACAACTCATTTGCCCAGAGAATATAAATAAAATGAAAATGAATCAAGTATAAAATATTTTAATTATTATGAAATACCTTAAGTGCAGTAAATTACTATAAAATTATATTTTTCTATTGCTTTTACATAAAATACATTCCTTTTAGTGTGTTACCTATGGTATAAGAAAAGTAGGATATGTTTCCACTAAACTGTAATAAAATTTAAATTTTACTTTCAATGCTCTCAATAACAAACATACACAATTAACAAATGCATTTATATATATGTAACAAATCGTTTCCTAATAGTTACACTTCCTTTTATAGTGCAGTTAAATGCTTTTGAATATTTAAAATGCTCGTTCAAAATAGGACTTCAGGATAGTAGTAGTAGTAGTAGTAGTAGTAGTAGTAGTAGTAGTAGTAGTAGTAGTAGTAGTAGTAGTAGTAGTAGTAGTAGTAGTAGTAGTAGTAGTAGTAGTAGTAGTAGTAGTAGTAGTAGTAGTAGTAGTAGTAGTAGTAGTAGTAGTAGTAGTAGTAGTAGTAGTAGTAGTAGTAGTAGTAGTAGTAGTAGTAGTAGTAGTAGTAGTAGTAGTAGTAGTAGTAGTAGTAGTAGTAGTAGTAGTAGTAGTAGTAGTAGTAGTAGTAGTAGTAGTAGTAGTAGTAGTAGTAGTAGTAGTAGTAGTAGTAGTAGTAGTAGTAGTAGTAGTAGTAGTAGTAGTAGTAGTAGTAGTAGTAGTAGTAGTAGTAGTAGTAGTAGTAGTAGTAGTAGTAGTAGTAGTAGTAGTAGTAGTAGTAGTAGTAGTAGTAGTAGTAGTAGTAGTAGTAGTAGTAGTAGTAGTAGTAGTAGTAGTAGTAGTAGTAGTAGTAGTAGTAGTAGTAGTGTAGTAGTAGTAGTAGTAGTAGTAGTAGTAGTAGTAGTAGTAGTGGTAGTAGTAGTAGTAGTGGTAGTAGTAGTTGTGGTAGTAGTAGTAGTAGTAGTGGTAGTAGTAGTGGTGTAGTAGCAGTAGTAGTAGTGATGGTAGTAGCAGTAGTGGTAGCAATAGTGTAGTAGTAGTGGTGGTGGTGGTGGTGGTGTAGTGGTAGTCTAGTGATAACAGCAGCGGCAGTAGCAGCAGCAATAGTAATAGTACTGATAGTGTTAGTAGTAATAGCAGCAGTGTAGTGGTGGTGATGGCCATGGTAGTATTAGTGGCAGTACTAGTGGCAGCAATAGGAATAGTAGTGGTGGTGGTAATAATGGTACGTAGTGGTAGTAGTGATAATAGAAGTGGTAGTAATAGCAGTAGCAGTGGTAGTGGTAGTGCTGCTAATGGTAATAGTAGTCGTAGTAGTAGTATAGTGGTAGTAGTAGTGATGACAGTAATAGTAGTAGGAGTAGCAGTAGCAGTGGTAATAATCATATTAAAAATAATAATAAAAGTATTAACCATAATTATAATAGTAATAGTAACTTGTAATAACAATATAAGTAATAGCAGGATGAATA